ATATTATCTTTAAACAGTTTATTGTGAATGGAAAACCAAGACTCGATAGATTTTGAACATGGTGAAGTATGAATGCTTGATTGTTAGCATCACATTGGCCCCGCTGATTTTACCCGTCAATTCGTTTTCGTCGACTTTCCTACGTGAATTGTGTTTTTCCAACGTTGAATCAACTGATGATCATGGTATATGTGTCGCTCGGTGCGTGATTGTTCACCACCCGTCTTTTGAGTGGGGTTGTAGTCGACTTGCTCCGTCGTGTACATATCGACTTCTGCGACGTTGCACTCTGAATAATATATATTATATCTCACAAAGTAGTCTCTCGCCTTTTGATGGGAAGGCCAGAGTCCTGTCGCATGGATCGCGTCGGAACGACCGCTGTTCAAATCAGCAGGTCTTGCAGGGAGCTACAGTCATGACCTCTGCAATCGATAGGGCGTGTGACGGGGCGTGGCTAGGAGCGCAGCCATGACAGAGTTCCGCCAATTGTAGCAGGCTCAGGAAGGCATCCTGGTGTCAGAGCGGCGTTTTTCCGCCAGTGATGGTATCCTGAGTCCGCTGGATGATTTGGTGGGGATCTGCCTCGGCTGCGCTCCTAGCCACGCCCGTCACACGCGCTATCGTTTGTAGGGGTCAGTTCTATAAATATTAGCTGCACTACTATTGACTTCTTTAACTGCTATGCACGAAAACGTACGAGCTGGCATTCTTTCATATAATGGATTCTGTTCAAGTAGAACTCGTTTCACCATTATCGGATCGCTTTTCTCCACTGTTGTTAAAATAATTGGATGCGGTTTCGGAGCCGTCCAGTAAATGACATTCTAAAGTGGGATTGTTCAATAAGAATTGTGTCGGAAATGGGTAATCTGGGGAAGACTTACCTCTACAGGCACTTTCTTGTACAGAACTCGTGAATCCTTTTCTACCACGCGATGTGTATGGCATTTAACAAGTTGAACCTCAATAATTCTGGGTATTAACTTAATTTCTAGGAAGGTATCAAGTGTCCGCAGGGATTCTATAAGCCACTGGGCGAATGGTTTGGTTTATTTTTATGTATTGATTATGATTTGTTAGGCGGGAGAGGAAATTGGTTCAAGCCGCCGTCAGAAGTTACCCAATGCCCCCACCCATCAGTCATTTACCCTGCTCTTGACCCACAACACACTGTGTTGTATTATCCCTACTTTAAGGGTGTTATGCAACACCACGAATATGTGTCTTCTTGGAAAAAGGTTCTTCGGGAGCGTTCCCTGAAAAAAAAAACTCAATTTCTCGCTTACCTTGAGAGTTGCAAGTTTTGGTATACGGTACTCGATAGCAACATGTTTTCCAAATGCTATTGTGAATGTGACTGTTTCCCAAAGTGGTCGAAGTTTCTCGGCTTGTAGTGGTCCCAGAGGCGCAAGCATCAAATGGGCGCATCCAAGTCTTCGTGAGATGTGCTCTTTCTGAATATTTCGCTTTCACTGGTACTCACCACGTAATTTTTCACATTACTGAATCATTTTAATTGAACTTATCGCACATTAATTAACCCAAATTATCTTTGGGCTTGCGGTTTTCCCTTTTCATAGAGACGGACAAAAAAATCGTACTTTGTCGCGCCGTCACCGTCGTGCGGCGATTTGCGACGAGAAGCGGAATTCTTCCAGATTCTGGCGGAGAAGATCCCATTAGGGACAATATCGAGATTTCCATCCCTTTGACACTCATATGGCGGCCAAGGCAAGGAACATCTCGTCCGTAGTGGCGCGTCTGCTCGCACCCACCTGCACCAGCGGCGCACATTACGATTGTTTGTTACCCGCCCCCCTTTTTTTTTTTCTTTGCTCCAAGATAAAGAAATTCCCGTTGGTTCACATTCTGGCCCTTTGCACCTAACCGAGCAGCGCTAAGGAAAAAGAGGATAAATTGAGGGGAACTACTCAATGTAGCTCGTAATATTTCCGCGAGAAAATTGGAGGAAGAAGTATGACTATTTATGCTCTGGGAGACTAAGTAAGCAGCGGCAACTCTGGTCGTTTGCGTTTTGCTGAGCCTGAACTTTGATTTTTGGAAGAGACAAAGGCGCATGGCTTCCTTCTCCCCGACCCCGAACCACATTAACCCCAAATTTAGGTTTGGCTTTCTTAGGCAGCGTTCAGACTTCGCGACGGCAGCGCTTCGGTCGCGAACGCTGCCTTACGGGGTTCTCTGTGCGGAGCTCTCTGGATCGTCTACTTTTCCTCCGCTTTCCTGTTCAGCCAGCCATCTAGGGCCAGATGGGAGTAAAAGTTCGTTTCCTTAGCTCAAGTACCTTGACTTTTTGCTTCGGTGGAAGGCAGAACGCGATCACGTTCAACACCGGCGCGTTGATGATGTGCTGATGTGCGGCGACGTTTGCGACATGGGGTTGCATGACGAAAGTACAGAGCAGAGGCATCTCAGCGGATGGTGCCAGTCTGTATCGTGCCGATTGACGCTGAAATTAATTTATAAGCCATTAATCATCCCATTTCACGGTACTCTGCCCATGAGCACCTCCAAAACTTTTTCGAATGAAAATCGGGGATTGATAGTGGCGCCAACTTAGCAAGTAGAGGGAAGGGGGGGCATACTGCAACACGACTGTGTTTGTTGTGCGAGAGTACCTACTGGACGTACTAATCTTACACGTTTCGGAAATTATCGTGCCTCTTGCCCTTGAGTAAGTGATCCGCTGACTTTTTGATCGTCAAAACCTATACTCATTGATTTGATGCCAAACTGTTATGTCGAGTCAACTAGCTATGAATACTAGCTGGTTTGGGCGCGATACTGCACCTAGGATGTTCTGGACTTCTACAGCGATACTTATCCCAAAGCCGTGATAGGTACTGCGGAGTCAAAACTACGGTGGTTCGCTCGCGTATCGCCTTGAAGAGTGTACAGTTAAATCCTTGCGAGCGATAGGGTGTGACGCGGCATGGATTGCAACGCAGCCAAGGAGCCATTTTACAACCATGTTGCCATCGTGCTCCTGATACAGCAGATGGGAAATCTGACCTGAATGCGCTCCGAGCCATGTCCCCCTCACGAGCCCTATCGTTTGCTGGGGTTCATGACTATACGTACGGAAGACGAGCAACAAGTGTAGGAAAAGGACATAGGGATACGTGATGGCTGCCGGCTCAATTATTCTCGCTTGTAATGAGTTATTATTTCTTTTCTTTTCTAGGAGTACAATTGTTATGAATTTCTGTCTTACCGTCTCTGCTTTCCACACTTGTACCTCTTCTACGGGTGTAGACAGTCGCGAGCCAGAAATATGAGGCGATACGGACTTTGCAGGGGAATTGATCGCAGTATGTTAGAGATCTGGCACCGGGGCACTAGATGTATTGAGCACCACCTAAAATTACAATTATATGTCAAAACGCTTTTACTTGGAAACGAAAACTCGCCATTTTAGGAGCTTGCCGTGGAGTTGTCTCCAGGCGACCGGTGCGCACTTCTTTCCTGTTTTCAGTGGCGGCAATTGGAGTGTTGCTTTCCGGCTCAGAGAAAGTGATAGTTGTGTGGGTGACAGTTGTGTTGGGCTCCGGCTGGTACTGACGACTGGTAACCGTCGATGTGGAAGCGACATACTGGCTTGAGCTAGCGGTAGTCGTTCCTCCCTGTGACGTCAACAGTTCCTGTACAGGAGGCGGGCTGAAATCATTGTTGGCTTTGGGTGGATTCGTATT